TCTCTGAAATGGCCATCAGTGTGAAAAAGGGTCCTTTTTTCAGTGCCGTTGTAACTCTGAACGGTCACTAAATGAAGCGGTCGTAAGTCAAGGACTACCTGCAGGTGTTGTTTGTGGAAGGAGGATTTGTATCGCAGGCCAGTTTTGTTTGGGAGCTCATCTTCATCAAATCTTTTTGGTCACAGACCCGCACGTAAAACATAAAAAATTATAATTACTTAGAATATGAGAGAAAATAATTTACATATAAAGTATGTAAAAGGGATTAAAAACCAATCCTGCATGTTTGTGCAGTTCAAGCTTATGCAAGTCTGGCAGGAACAATACTTGCCAATGGCAATTTCACACCAGATGTTGCAATAAGGAATTTCACTTCTGGGTGTGTTTCACTTTGCCCTACTCTTGGGACGTCCTTCAGGCTGAGGGAACACAGTTGTGGCCACAACTGAGCCCAAAATTTCTGCTGCTAAACGAGACATTTGTTAAGTGAGTTTTGCCCCATTTTACGACCTTTTTACGACAATCACTGGTTATTCAGTTAATAACATGCTTGTTAAGCGAATCCATGCAGTTGTTAAATTAGTAACACAATTCTTAACTGCATTGGGCTTCCCCATTGACAGCACTCATCAGAAGGGTCGCCAAAGGGGATCCAGGACACAGCGACGGTCATAAATATGAATCAGTGGCCAAACGTCTGAATTTCGATCACACGACCGGCGGAATGGTGCAAGGGTCATAAGTGTAAAAAATGGTGATTTTTTCCAGTGCTGCTGTAACTTGGTCTTTAAATGAGCTATTGTAAATTGAGGACTTCCTATGATAGTGTGGGTCATTAATGTTGCTTCTGTGAGAAATGGGCAGAAATAACTTGGGAAGCAAAAATGACCTATAAAAGAATTCAGGGACCTAGGTCAGGAATAGGCAACCTTGGCTCTTTTATGACTCGTGGACTTCAACTCCCAGAATTCCTGAGCCAGCATGGGGGAACTATGGCCCCTTCATGACTCGTGGACTTCAACTCCCAGAATTCCTGAGCCAGCATGGCTCAGCTTGGAAACCTCTCCCTTTCCCCTCAGCATGGCTGGCTCAGGAATTCTGGGAGTTGAAGTCCGCGAGTCATAAAAGAGCCCAGGTTGCCTACCCCTGTCCTAGTGGATTTTGGATAATCCCACTAGAAAAATTTTCAGAGGAAGTGGCTAAACAGGTGGACAAGCAGGAAATCTATGGGCCTGTAAGATTCTGGTTAGCCAGACTTTTGCTATAGACCTGCAGACACATTCTAAAAGGAGCAAAAGACGGGTGGGAGCGCCCACGATTTCTGGAGGCAGGCTGTTCCACTGGCTAATTGTCCTCACTGCCAGGAAGTTTCTCCTTAATTCCAGGTTGCTTCTCTCTTTGATCAGTTTTCATCCACTGTTTCTCGTCCTTCCCTCTGGTGCTTTGGAGAATAACGTGACCCCCTCCTCTTCTTTGTGGCAGCCCCTCAAATACTGGAATACTACTATCATGTCTCCCCTATTTCTTCCTTTCTTTAGACTAGCCAAACTCAAGTCCTGCAGCCGTTCTTTGTATGTTTTAGCCTCCAGGCCTTGGATCATCTTAGTTGCTCTTCTCTGAATTTTCTCCAAACTCTCAACCTCTTTTTTGTGATAGGGTGACCAAAATTAGCTGCAGTATTCCAGGTGTGGCCTCACTAGGGCTTTATAAAGCGGTACTAACACTTCATGTGATCTCGATTCTGTGTCTCTGTTTATACAACCCAGGATTGTGTTAGCTTTTTTGGTTGCTGCTGCTGCACACGGCTGGTTCAAGGTCAAGTGATCGTCCACTAGGACTCCAAGGTCCCTCTCACAGTTGCTGTTTTTGAGCCAGGTCTCGCCCAATCTATACTTGTACCTTTGGTTATTCCTGCCTAAATGTAAGACTTTGCTTTTCTCCACATTGAAACTCATTTTGTTGGACAGGGTTAGGGCCCATTGTTCGAGTTTCTCAAGATCTTTTTGGATCCTGAGCTTGTCTTCTGGGGTGTTGGCTACTCCTGCCAGTTTGGTGTCATCTGCAAATTTGATGAGTTCCCCTTCAATTCCCTCGTCTGAGTCATTAATGAAGATATTGAAGAGTCCTGGGCCTAAGATGGAGCCTTGTGGTACCCCACTGCTTACTTCTCTCCATGTGGATGTAGTGCCCTTGATTCATTGAAATGAAATTCTGTTGCCTGCTCTCAAAAGTGTACACCTACATAACACACATATAGACGTGCTATATACATACATATGTATATCTCTAATTTCGTTAAAAATTCGAATCCTGGGTAAAGCCATATAGTAAAATCAAACAAACACGAACGGAATTGCAACCTTGAAAAACATTAAGAGAACAGCCAATGCGCACCCCCTAGGAATTAAACAATTAGGACTATTGGATGGACCGATGAATAGGTCCAGGAGTCGTGTGCAAAACCAGCCAGTATTATAAGAAAGGGACTCCCATTGACCTACTCTTATGCTCTGATGATGTCGGTAGTGCTGACCGACGAAAGCTCAGCATTTTATTAAACGATTTTTAGTTTAATTTTATCCTGGTGTTCGTGTTTGTTTGATTTTACTATACATATGTATATACCTACACCCTTGAATATAGATACATATAAATATTAATCACTGTTCGTGTTTGTTTGATTTTACTATACATATGTATATACCTACACCCTTGCATATAGATACATATAAATATTAATCACTGTTCATGTTTGTTTGATTTTACTATACATATGTATATACCTACACCCTTGAATATAGATACATATAAATATTAATCACTGTTCGTGTTTGTTTGATTTTACTATACATATGTATATACCTACACCCTTGCATATAGATACATATAAATATTAATCACTGTTCGTGTTTGTTTGATTTTACTATACATATGTATATACCTACACCCTTGCATATAGATACATATAAATATTAATCACTGTTCATGTTTGTTTGATTTTACTATACATATGTATATACCTTCACCCATGCATATAGATACATATAAATATTAATCACTATCCATTTCGAATATGTGGTGGAAAGAGGAAGCTTGAGAGAAAGAGGAAAGTGCAGCCAGAAGTGAAATTCCTTGTGTGTGTGTGTGTGTGTAAACAGAGATTTTTAACATGTGCCATTGTGTACACAGAAAAAGTACATACATACATATATACTTATATCCATACATACACACACACACATACATAAAGCATA